AAATAAGTGCCGAGGGCACCCACCATCAGTCATCCATTACTACCGAGGGGTCCTATCCTGTAAAAGGGGATGCAACTGACTAAGGCAGCTCAACAACCCTTCAAGTGAATGCCGAGGGCACCTATATCCCACCAGCATTCACTACAACATCAATGACCTACAAATTTTCCTAAGTCCACACTTTTGGAAAATGTTAACAGCCGGAGGCTCATATATCACCCAACAACCGAGGGGAAACACTATTAGCCGAAGGCTACACACGGAAGCAACACTTAGAAGATTTTCTAAGTCCTGAAGATTGAGCCCCCGGCCTGATCAATATTTCAACTGAGGGACCATGATAGCCGAAGGCTACGTGATGCAACAGCACTTAGAAGATTTTCTAAGTCCTGCATATTTTTCCCTCGGTCAAACTACTTATACATCAAAGAGAAGGCTATCACCCCGGAGGCTTCCGATGGGAAACCACGCTTAGGAATTTTTCCAAGTCCTAAAGATTGGATCCTCAACCTGATCATCAGATAACTAAGGACATACGGTAGCCGAGGGCTACTTGACACCATGCATTTGGAAGTAAGGCTAAGTCCTAAATATTTGGCCCTCGGCCAAATATCCACGCAACAGGAAGGTTCACCCAATGATTCGAGGGCTCCTATCGGGACCACTCGAAGGCTCAACATCTGAGGTCTACTTAGAAAATTTTTGAAGTCCTGAATATTTGCCCCTCGGACAGACTCCTCACTGACCGAAGGTTCAACATCTACAACAGGAAGGATGCTACCAGCCGAGGGCTTCCAATGGGAGACTACACTTAGAAATTTTTCTAAGTCCTAAGGATTGGGTTCTCAACCTAATCATCTCACAACAATTGAACTACAAACACCCGAAGGCCCTATGATGTGCTACACTTAGAAAAAATTTCTAAGTCCTAACTATCGCTGGGCCCTCGGTTGTATATCCAGCGAAGGGTGCCCAACTACCGAAGGCTACAACTGTATTCAAACACTTAGAAAAATTTTCTAAGACCTAAGCTCCTCACCTCCGGTCATCTCATAAAGACTACAAAGAACCGGGGGGAAGGATCAGCCGGGGGCCAACAGATGAACAAACACTTGGAAGAATATTTCCTAAGTCCTAAGCATACATTCAAAGGAGCAAAGGCATACATTCAAAACGAAACGAGGGCATACATTCAAGGAAAACACCCGGAGGAAACGAACTATGCAAAAAGCCCGAAGGCAAACATTCATTCATTCAGGGAGGAGTTAAAGTATATATGTTACAATATGGCCGAGGCCGAGAGTACACAAATATTCATTACAAACAAAAAGCAAAGGTATTCAAAAGCTACTAAGTGCAAGTGTTTTCTTCTGCCGTTGTCTCCTCGGCGGGCTTCGAGGTGACCTCCTCCCCAATGGCGTCCTCGGCATCACCATCGCCGGATCCCCCCATCATCATGGAGTCATGGATCACGGGCCTCTCTTCGCCCGGGGGGAGGGGATTTCTCACGTCTGGCTGCAAAGGAGGAAGGCCATACGTCGAGGGGTCGAATTCCTCGAGGGAGACTTGGAAGTGCCTTGCCAGCCTCCGGTACACACGGTGCTGAGTGAAGAATTCACCCCCTTGGTAGTAACTATCTCCCCTCTCCGCCATCCAGTCTCCCCCGGGGCCCTTCACCCAGTCATCTACCGATGACTCCACGACCGAGGCCACCCACTGCCGCCTATCTTCGGCTTTCCATCCCTCGGCCATGAATGCGGCGACAGCTTCTTCTCGGGCTTTGGCGATGGCCTCGGCCTTAGCTATCTCCGCCTCCTCGGCAGCTTTCTTGGCTGCCCTCTCAGCCTCCTGCCTGGCTTCCTCCGCTGCAGCTTTGCCCTCGGCAGCCTTCCGGAGATCTTCCTCCAGCATTGCCATCTGCTTCACGGCCTCGGAGTTCTTCAGGACGAGCTCCTTCATCTCCCGGTCCTGCTCCGCCTTCCGGAGGCGCCATTGCTCAAGCCTCTGTGCGTGCTCCCCGAGGGCTACGCAAGCCTAAAAAGCAACAGGAGGAAGGATCATATTAACATGAAAATAATATTGAAAGTTAAACGCAAAACCTAAGGGAGCAAACTTACAGTTAATGAAGACTGGAGGATCCTGTTCTCGAGGGCCTCGTCATCATAGGTGGAGAGGGCAGCCTTGTCCATCACTGAGGTCATCCCCCTCAGGAAAGCTTTCGGTTCCGCCGAGCCGTGTAGAACAGAAGCCCCCGGGGCCAGAGAGAGCTGCAGGATCTCCCGAGGGGGGATCCTCAAGGGAAGATTGAGTTGGGCCGTCACCGCAGCATCAACCGGGGGGTCCGGAGAGGGGCGGTCCTCGATGACCACCAAGGGGGCATCCTTGGCGACAGTGCCCCATGTGCCCCGCTGCTTCTTGGCCGGGGGCTCAACCACCTTGCCCCCCTTCTTCTTCTTTGTGGCCCCCTCCGCCACACCAACGACCCCCTCCGCAGCAGAGGGCTCCGGGACCTCTTTTTGGAAGAAGGCTCCCACAGGCGGTTGGACCGAAGGGTCCTTCTTTTGGGCCTGGGACTTGCCTTTCTTCTTCTTCAGGGCGAAGAGTTTACCGGCATCCATGTTAACTCCTGCAAACAAAAAACAAAAGGGTCAGACCGAAGGGGAAAAGAGCGAAAGAAAAGAAAAGGGGAAAATCCTAAGTACGAAAAGAAAGAAGGGGGAAGCCCTCGGAGACTACCTCCCGTCAGCACAGGATACTTCTCGTCTGTTTCGCCAAGGAAGCGATATCTGCAGAAGCCGAGGGCAAAGAGCTCCTTGTCAGCAGTGAAGTCCTTGATGGACATTTGCTTCGTGCGGCCCGCCGGGATCTTGGCTATTATCGAGCCATCCTTCTCCAAAGCAGCACTTCCGACTTTCGGATGCCGACGGAAGCGATCCCTAAGTTCCATCGGGAAAGGGCTCTCGGCAATCCTAATGTAACACCGCCTCTCCTTCCAGCCTTTGTTGGACGAGGGCGCTTCCGTGAATAACTTCCACCGAGCCACCTGTTGCAGATTAGCGAACCCCTCGGCGTTCGCATGACCCCCTCGACAGAGGTTGAAGCTCTGGAAAAACAGATCCAGGCTGGGGGTCACCCCTCGGGCCCGGCAGAGGTTCAGAAAGCCCGCCACGTAGGAGTGGCTGTTGGGCGTCAGCTGACAGGGGACCAAGCCCACATAACGGAGATATTCCCGAAGGAATGGGTGCAGGGGGAACCAGAGCCCCATTGACACCGACAGGATGTGCACAGCAATGCACCCCTCAGGGGCCCGGGAAAGAACGTTGTCTGGGCCCGGCGCCACCACCACAGCCGAGGGCCCCACGTGCAGCTGGGTCACGTACATGTCCTCCCTATCAGCCTTCGACCCTATCTCCAGGGCAGCAGTGTTTAGCCAGGAGTACCCCTCGGGCACATCTATGGGCTTCCCTTGATGAGCCGCAACATTTTTCTTCTTGGGGGCAGTCTTCTTCTTCCCCGATTGGTTCCCGGGGGCCACTTGGGATCACTCCTTCAGAAGCCCAAGGCTTCATATCAGGCCACCCCTCGGGGATCCCCCCTCAGCACTGTAAGGGCCGGGTAGCCCCCAGGGAGTATGCCTCATTGACGGATAGCCTACGGCACACATGTAATGGGAGCCCTCGGATATCCTCATCACCAACCAATCAACAAGCAGGGGACACCCCGGTAACAATTCAACTACTGCCCTCATCCATCACGCCCTCGATCCCCAGATTGAGGGACCCCCCTTCGGCACCCGCAGGACATCAACAGCAAGCCCCCGGCTAATCAACACATGAGCTCTCAGAACAAGGAGAGCCTTCGGCATCATCATTATTATCCATTTTGAACCAAGGTTTCACATTTTCGATTCATCGTTGGGGGAATTCGGTGCACTCTTTTTCCCTCATTAGAATTTTTTCCCACAGGGTTTTTCCTAATGAGGTTTTTAACGAGGCATCCCCCCAAAATGAAACGAAAAGCGTCAGCCTTCGGCCCACAACAGCAGCGCAACTACTCTACTCCTTTTCACCACTTTGCAAGTGCCTCGAGGAGTGGGGGACTGGAGGACCCCCTCGGGAAAAATCACAAAAATTACAAACATGACCCCTCAAGTCCCGACATGTGGGTAACTGAGGGACTGCCCTCGGCAGAATAAACAAACAGCAAACTACCCACAACTCTACAAACTACAAACGAAACAACGGCAGAGGACAAACACAATTACTCCTTTTCCCTCAAGTACCTTTCGGCAAAAGGAGTGAGGGACTCCTGATGGAGTATATGGCCCGGGAACCCCCGGCACACAGACTCCTACTATTCCAAACAAGGCCCAACAGGCCCAGGAGGCCCAACAGGCCCAAATCACAGCGCCCAGAGTACCAAGCAGCCCACAATGCGCACCAGGGGTGCCTTCGGCCCCCTGGCCGAGGGCTCTAACTCCCACAGGAGGGCCAAAACAGGAAAACAAGATGACTGGGAAAACAGCGAAAATCACTAGCCCTCGGCACCCAGAGGGTCCCCAGTACTCAGAGCCCTCGGTTAGTCCTCTACAGCCGAGGGCACCTTTCCCGACATGACATCTGTGCCACATGCGTGCAGGTCACCGTACCCTGTACAACGTCCCATCCAACAGCCGCATTAAATGCGGCCACATGCGGTTGCCAGCGCCAACCAGTTGAGGTGACCTCTCGGCCAATGGACGCTTGACACGTGTCCCTGTCCGGCATTTATTGCTACTATAAATAGCACCTCATTTCCCCGTTTGTAACCAAGCCATAACACGCTGAAAACGCTCCACACTTTGCAATATACTTTCTCTCTCTATATTTACTTGCTCTGACTTCTCTCTTATTATTCCCCGTAATACCCCCTCGGATAAGCTACCCCCCGGGCACACTATCCATCAACCCCAAATACGTCTAATCCCCTCCCCCCCTGACTACCTCCAAAGATGCTCGTAACGCTTTTAGACCATCTTGCACACATAAATTAATAACATGACATGCACATCGTTGATGAAAAAATCTACTCATCAAAGAAGTAGAATCATACAATTCACACAATCTAGGAATAGCAGCAGTATTATTAGTAGCATTATCAAAACCAATAGCAAACACCTTATCAATTAAATTATACTCAATTAAAATACGCTCAATCAAAATATAAATATGTTCAGCGGTGTGACAATCATTAAATTCACGAAAAGCAAGAACACGTTTATACATATTCCAATCATTATCAATATAATGTACTGTCAGACCCAAATAATGTAAATTATGATAAGTAACCTCCCATATGTCAGAACATACAGTAACACGTTCATCAAAGTTTGCAAAATAATTTTGTAACCTTACCTTTTCCGCACCATAAAGCCTTGAAATTTCTTTCTTAACCGTTTTGCGACTATAACCTCTATATTGAGGATTTAAACAAGTTTGTGCATAATCACGAAAAGCAAGACTTTCAGGAAAAAAAAATAAGGCAAATTTTCTTCAACAAGTAAGTTAACCATACCTGTCAAATTTTGTGCATCATTGTATGAGAATTTACCAAAAGGTTGTTGGTTATTTGCAAATCTCGATATTTGAGTTTGCTTCCCCGTTCCGCCGCCTAATTGGCTAATTTTGCACACTCCACCGGGTGTTTGGACTTAAGATGCCTTGTGGCGGATCCGTATCCGCCGGAAATCCCCAAGCTATAATTTTTCTGGCACCACTTGCAAGTTGCGTTCCAATTCCCGGTGTTCGGGTCCTTCCACTTATCAAAATTATTTTGCATTAGTTCAGATCTACTTTTTTCGTGCCTGTTTGGGATGAGGCAAGCTCGTCGGCGTCGTGGCTGCCACCACCCTCCTCCGCGTCGCCTTCGTGGATGTCCAGAATTACTTCCTCCGCATCATCGTCCTCGAGCTCTTCTTCGTCAATGGTCCTCGGTTGGTCTTGGAAAAACCGACTATTATGTCAGTGCAATTCTTGTTCTAGTTGTTCGTCGGTCATGGCATCCCCATCCCTCCTTGCATAACCTGTATCAAAATCACCTCGGCTTTGAGATGAAGAGCCGATATGTGATTTACCTTTGCGGGATTTCTTCCTCGCAAGCTCGTTCGTTCGGTTGCGCTCGAGGTTGCCCATATCAACCGAATATCTACCACTTTCCATCTTAAAAATGTAATCTAAGTAATATAATATATGTATTTATAAGTAGATAAGTAATATATAAGTAGATAAGAAATATAAGTAATATAATTATATGTATTTATAAGTAGATAAATAATATAAGTAGATATATTGGAGAATAAGAGAAATTGAGAAGATGAATATCAAGATAATAATTAGAGAGTAGAGTGTAGGATTTAGGAAGAGATATGAAAAAATGTTTAAGATTAGGAGTATTTATAGTTTTTTTACCCCACTCCACCCCCCACCCCACCCCCCAAACCGCCTGAACCCCACTGCCAGCCCACCCAACGGCTATATAGCCGTTTGGGTAGTCCCCGGCCCACCCCCAACGGCTCTTTGTGGCCCAAAAGTCCAAACATTTTTTTTTAAATATGGCCGTTGGACCCGAACCCGAGCCCGACACGGCCGGGCCGGGTCACCATTAGCCTGAACCAAACCGATTAGTAAACACATACAATCAACATCAATATCATAATCAAACAAATGCGGAAATATAATATGTTTGATAATTAGCCACACGTGACACACACGAGCACACAGGCTCCCAACTGTTTTAGAAGAAAAACATTGTTCAAATATCCATGAGCAGTTTATAACTTTCAAATAAGAAATGGAAGCACGAACCACGTCTCCCTTCTTGATCAACCACCCTAGGCAAAGGTGCAGGTAGTAGGACTCTAGCCTTAACTTGAAAAAATGTGAGGGCCCCCGGGGGGTCAGTACTCCATAGAAGTACTAGTGACAAGCAGGCTATATGAGGAATAACTAATGTTTCAGACACGAGACCCAAAAATAGGGTGATACATATACATATATATATATATATATATATATGTATATATATATGTCCCTCATCCACCCGATGATACATACTGTATATATATACTTGTAAAATACTTAACCCGTAGGTCATTTACCTTAAAGAGTCTTTTAGAGATAAAGTTCTTACCCGACTTATCTCACTCCTTTCCCGGATCCCTAGCTCATAAGCTATGTTCTACATTCGTAATATCCTACCGAGTTTCGGGATCGTTTACCGTCTCGGGGATACTCAACCCCAACTGAGTTTCAGGATCATTTACCGTCCCGGGGATACTCAACCCCAACCGCTTTTCAGAATCATTTACCGTCCCGGGGATACTCAACCACAACCGAGTTTCAGGATCATTTACAGTCCCGAGGATACTCAACCCCAACCGAGTTTCAGGATCATTTACCGTCCCGGGGATACTCAACCCCAACCTTATTCCTTACCAAACCCTAACCTGGATATGGCTAACCTTTCATTCCTTTAACTATGGATAATACCTAGCCCTATAGTCATATAATAATCCATAATAATCAACGTGGACGGTTCTCGCCCGAACGCTCCACGTTATACTCATTCAAAACTGACCGTTTGGGTGTAAAACCCGATACCCGGTCGAGTACCAACCCATACCCGGTCGGGTATAGAAGGCAGCGACCCCCTAGGGCAGTTTTCAGAACATACCCGGTCGGGTATTTGCCAATACCCGGTCGGGTACAACATATGATTTGGCGGTCAAAGCCTGTTTGACCGCCCAAACGAAGTCTGATTAACGTGAAATTTTACGTGCAAGTACTCCTTGACGTCCTTAATCCAAATATACCTATTTGGGTCCTTGGGACATCATACATATCAATTTATAATGATTTCACTAATCAAACCTATAAATCATGCCTTTCAACTATGTTATATTCCTTAACATGACATAGCACATACTTTAATATCATTAATCAATTCATAAAGCATATACTTAATTAATTTAGGTAATCTTATGCCTCACGCAAAAGTTATAAAGCATAAAGCCGTCTTCTCACCTTAAATGAAGCTTATGAAGTTCTAGCCTCCCTTATTGAGCTCCGGCGAAACTCCGGCGAACTTCAACGAACTCCGGCGACAATTTCAGCGCCCCTTTCAACTCCGTGAAAGTTCCTTGAGTACCTTAGACAAGTCACTAACAAGGTTTTATCATCATAAAACCCATATTAATAAAAATAACCTCCAAAAGGTTATTTTCCGGCGAACCGGTCACTTTGGCTTCTAAGTCCGTTCTTAGACCTAGAACTACCTTCCAACCCCTCATTCTACACTTCCAAACGTGTAGAACAATCGTAGGGTGTGAAATATGATTGTATAATCATATAAGATGATTGAAGAACAAGAAATGGGATTAATGGAGTCATTACTTTGTAAATCTCAAGTTTTCCTCCCTAACCTCCCCTTTTCTCTTCTCTTTTCCCTTCCTTCTTCCTCCCCTTGCTTTGTGCGAAAATGGAGGATGAAAATGGAGTATTTGCAGATAATATCCCTCTTCTTTGAATGGGTTGGCCGAGCATATGAGGTGTGGGGTGGTGGAAATATCCCTTTTGGCTTATTCATCAATCATGTGGGGGGAGGGTCCCCTCAACTTACAAATTTGTCTCCCAATCAATCTCCAGCCCTCTCCCAGCTCCATGATGCGGCTCCCCTCTCCATTTTTAGCCTAAAAACGTGGGTTGGCCCCCACTTATGTGGGAGGTCAACCCTTTTGTGTCCCGGTGTGTACATTCGACCCCGAAAGTTGTATTTTCCGGACTGTTTTGATTATATTTTATTTTATCGGGTCAAATAAAATATAACACATGTTCTCCATCATTATTGGACTTTATAATGAATATACATTCCTCAACTTTAATTTAGAAATCTCCGAAATTCCTTTTCGGGCTGTTATCTGATAAATTGCCGATATTGATGATTGGGCCTCGTTTGACCAACCGGTCAACCCTATGCCTTTGTCACGGCCCAATTAGGACATCCACCACCATATACATATTATCTAGGCCCAGATGAATATGATATGTGGTCCCAATACTATCGGGCGACCCCCACTTCCGGTGTGGGTCCCACGTAGCTTTTACTATTCACGTAAAAGAAATGATAAAAATTTAAAATCACGTAAAATGCGTTTATTCATTTCTCAGGGTTCAATACATGATTTGATGAAGTACAAATACTTGGGGGCGGTGTTACATACTATACACCAGTCAAGCATATATATATGTGATTTCCTTTCAACATTTTTAAAGAAAACTCTCAGAGATTTTGTTTAACATGAATGTTTCACATTTGTTGATATTAACGTTAAATGGAGGAATCAAACCTAATTACACATGTCACTACGTCTACAAGAATTTACATGGCAAAGTCTATAATTACACGGACAAGAATCACAAAGCATATAAACAAAATTAATAACTTTATTTACAACACATAATGTAAACATTCCATTTAGAAACCTTGCCCTACAAATATACCAAACTAGGACAAAATAAATTAGTTCTCTACAAAGTTATGTTGAAATCTAAAAGTAATTTAAGGATGCCATAAATAAAATGCAATCAAAATTCTAACAAAAAATAAAATGCAATTGATTTCATTTCAAATAAAAAAACAATCATAATAATTCTAAACTGACTTGAAAAAACGCTTTGCCATATTTTGATGTTCCCAATATTACACACCTAGGGAAAAAGAGCTCACGTTTGCCGCCCAATAGCAGTAATGTTTTACAACGCACTACAGGCAGGGGCAAACACAGGCTGGGAAGATGACCAATGGGGGGTTGCGCTGCCGCCGCCTCCCTTCCACACCATTGCTTCTAAGTTGCCATAATTATTCAACTTATTTTAGAAAATATGTATATTTTGGTAATCTTTATATATACAATATCCACCTGTAAAATCAAGGTCTGCTGCAACATATTTGGTTCTGATATCCTACCATTGTCACACGGCATAATAACACCCAGCTTCAATTATGTGAAGATGAAAGATCACAAATAGATCAGTGTGACATTCCAAAAGCCATATCTCAGTAAGAGGAAGAACTAGGACATAAACAAAGCATGGCAGTAGAGCTCTGAAATTTGTGTTACACCAAAACTTGGTAGTCTAGATTCATGTGCATGATGATTCGCCAACACTGCGTGGACAAAACATTCTTCCTCTCGTGGGGTAATCCGTGATATGGCAACCCAAAGGATGATATGATATTATGACGCATTTGGTAAGGGTCAAACTGCTGATAATGTGAAGGTAATTATTATATTCATAAAATATACGTAAATTTTTCAAATAAAATCATGAAAACAACACTGTTAAATGAAAATTGGCGAAATTCACAAGAATAATCCCTACTTTTATGGATTATACAATAATAATGTCTACCGAGTGTGTCCATAAAAATAATCCGTACTAGCAATAGTGTCTACAAGAATAAATTGGAGTGAATTCAAACTAATGCCCATTTAGTACTCCCAACCTCTACCTCCACTTTCCCATTCACAACTTTTCATCTTGGTTAAAACTTTTATGTTTCAACCTAGAAGAAACAACATATGGCGGAAATGGTGTTTAGATTAAACGGGTTTTAGTTTGAATTTGCCCCGAGAAGAAGAATGGGGAAGAGAAAAGTGGAATTAAGAGTTCAGAATATTAAAAGGGCATTAATTTAAATTCACCCCAATTTATTCTTATGAACATCATTGCTAGTTCAGATTATTTTGGTGGACACTCTAAGTATGGACTATTATTGTAGAATCCATAAAAGTATGGATTATTCTTATGAATTTCACCATGAAAATTAAGGTAAAGTTGTACTTTTCACCCATTTCAAAACATTGGGGCAAAAAATAACTAATACACCAAATCTTTACTACCTACCAGTTCGGTACGCACAGTCAACTAAGTTAGCTTTTTCAGTTAAAGAAAGAGGAGAGATTTTAAACAACATAAAAATAAGCACAAATAGTTAGATGCCATCAAACCTTTGATCACAGTGTGGCCAGAATGAAAGAGGTTTTAGGTAACCAGACGAGTCATTGGCCAATCACGCAATCTTAAGGCAAACAATAGCGTAAAAATCTCTTCACTTGTTGAAGATGAATTTCAGCCATGTAAAAAAACAGTAATTCGACAAATGTCCTGGTAAGTCCGCCTATAAACATCACAATGATCAAGAAAGTGAGCAACTCCACAATCATCGTGCAAGGATCTAACGCAGTATCATACATAAAGAACAATAAACACATTCTGAGTTCCAAAGACAACTAAAAGAGATGGAGACTTGAAAATGAAAAAGACAAGCCTATCAACTTACACTGCTCCAAGTGAAGGAATATCCATCCGTCGAGAGCAACCACTTACAATCCTTATTTTGCAAAACATCTAACACACCATCCTCAAAATCTACTATCTCCCTGGGGTCAAAATTCCACCTCTTTTTCTTCCTGTGGTAAGTTCTACTCCTCTTTCGTTTAGATCTACTTGAAGACCTCAAATGTCCATCAGACTCACTCTCTCCCAGAATTTCATCATGATTTAACAGTGAGTACTTTCCACACTTCCGAAAACCTATTCTATTAAAAGCAAACAAGAATTCCCAAGAATCAATGGTCTGAAATGCTTCTAAGAGTTGATGATGCATAACCCAAGCCTGCGAACCCAGCAATTTCAGCATCTCTAAGGATTTCCTCTTAGCAGAATCTTTAAGAATTGTATCAAAGCCAATATTTTTGAGTGTACAAATATGGGAAGCAATATTTTTTATTTTTTATTTTTCCTCATCACCAGCTTCTTCGCAGACTAGTAACAAGAGTTTATGGCTTTGAATTGTAATGGCATTCAACAAGAGTAGCTGATCGATAGAATTATTGCCATGGCACTTCGCAAGCATCACCTCAAGCCAAGAAGATGGTTTATCACGCTTCATGGTTTCCACACATGGGTTAAGATATTTGGGGATCAAATCTAAGAAAACAGATAGTTCTTCCTCCTCAAGCGCAACAAGAAGGTGATGACATAGAGTTGAAAAAGACTCTTCCTTCAGAAAAGTATCTATAATTTCCCAGACATCCTTCATATTGTCTTTGTACAGTAGGTCAAGAAACATTTCAATGAAAAAATTCTTATCGATTGACAAAATTGCACCATCTTTTAATGACTCTGAAAAGTCGACACGTGACCAGAATTCAGGTACGTATTCAACAAAGTTCTCTATGTCATCTCGACATCTAGATCAAGAAAGTAATTAGGGTTTGTGGCAACCATGGCTGGTGATTTCCCATGTTTGCCCCTCCACTCAAGCTCCTCCTAAAAAATGTCACGATTCACAAAGGCGAATTGGGAAAGTGCCTTAGCTCCCTTACCATGCATACCAACAGACCCTCCAAAGTTAGAGAACCATTGCAATATATAATTCGAGTTCCCTGCACGATTCATGATTAAAACATAAGAGGTGAACACATAGACATCGTGGTGTTTATTTTAGTAAAAGTGTTCACAGAACATACTGACTAAAACATGGGTAGGCATAACCACACGGTGAAGCAATGCAAACAGCAACACCACGCGTGCATCCATAAAAACATGTCATGATTTTCTCTATCATCATCCAGATCTAATATATAAAATGTCAAGTGCAAGACTATTTTCTCCTATCAATTGTACATTGTACAACAAATTATTGAAATTTTGAAACTTATAGTTGCAATAAATCTGACATAACAACTAAACAAATTTTAAAACCTTTTTATCCAGAAAGAAGCAGATAATAATTTTCAGTAGAATGACTTGCCTTTAAAGAAATCTTCTAGCAAGTAACTTTTCTTTGAAATGATTGGTCCAGCTAGGTGTGGATGCTTGTCAAAAATTAATTGTAAAATTTTTGCCGCCAAACGCTGTTGTTTGACTTTCTTTGACCTTAACAAGGCAAGAAATAGTTCTTGCTTATGACGGGGAGTCACAGAACTTATGTCTTCCAGTGAGTTGCAAAGCCAAAGGCGAGCTTCAGATCGATACCCACATGATATCAAAGACCATAAAACAGATTCTAGCTCCTTCAGATAAGATTTTGTCTGATCAATTAAATTATTGTCTCCTTTCTCATCCGAGGGGGGTATAGTGAGATATAATTGGAGCATCTTAATCTGAAACATTAAATACCACAAAACCTTAGTCCAAACTTAGACGCCATTGTCATTAAATAACTCAATAACTGCAAAAATTGCAAGTTTTCACAAATTCTTAGGCCGGATTAATAAATTGACAAATCATAAATTCCAAAAAACAAGTCAAATCAATGCCTTAATTCACCAAAGCATACATAAGTACTCCTAAACATCTGAAATAGTTCGAAATCCAACCCCACCCCACCCCCACCCCCAAATAGCAACTACACACGTAATAACTCAGATGAAACCTAGTCTTTTGTTTAATTCAAAGTACATTTAATCATTTTTTGGCAATTCCGCTTGCGCGTAAGAACTTGCATCGTTGAAAGAATGAAGACGACTGGTTACCAGAATCAGGGACTTGGAAAAGCAGGTGAAGAGAGATGGCACAAATTGTTGAATGAGATTTTAGCCGACCCGAGCAAGCTATGATCTTGTGATTCTTGTCCTCATTTTCTAAAAGAAAACGGGCCAAAGTATGGAATGGATCGCTCAACCGACTCAATAACTAAGACGAATAAAAAGCCCAATTACGCTAGATTTGTGTGGGCCTAACCCACCCGTGTGTTCAACGTTTTTCACGACTCAAAACCTATATAAGCCAAAGTGGGAAAAGTATGCACGGAAAAGACTCTTCCAGTGATTGAATTTAAGCAACCACTGAGAATTCCCACCTTCTCATCTCCTCAAGAATCAGAAAGGGAAAACGCTCCTATCTACTGCTGCAAGGTTTGACCTTTCTATGTGTATATGTTGATTATAAAGTTTTCTTCTTCTTCTTTCGGCTTCAACAATTTGATCTTGATGGGTTTCTGCTCCTTAACGGATGCGCGATTCGGAAAAGGGAAAAGTTAATAGGGGAGAATGCATTTTATGAGGAAAAGAAAGAATTTTTAATTTAATTTGTACTGGAAATATTGACCAAAGATGATCAGTGCAATTTACAAAGAAATTCTGGTTCTCTAATCGAGAAAAGTTTAGGTTTTGCGAGTGTTACATTGTTGTAGGATACTAGGATATACTTAGGGTCAGTTTGGAAGCAAGGCTTTGGATGCTTTGCAAGCCAAGTTTTTGACGGGCTAAACTTTATACCCCCCTCCAAGTACATTTCTTGCTTTAAGTTGTTTTTCTTTTTTCTTCTTGCCAAAATAAGATTATTCCTTTCTTTAGGAGGTACGACTTTTTTTTATTAATGATGGGGGGTAAGTGTGTAGTATTCATTTTTTAAATAATACTTGCACAGTTGGGAATGTGTGGCTATTTCTAATCTAACAGTAATACATTATTGATAATTTGTGAAACAAAAATCAATTCTTCCTTCCCTCCAAAAGCAAAGAATGTATGGTTTAACAAGCCCTTAACAACAGAATTGTGTGTTTCATTTTTACTCTCCAAACTACGATGGTACAGTTCAGTTTTTTGACAAGTTTTCAAGTCAAATGAAGAGCAAATTTGGAATAGGGAGAGCATGTTATAAAAACTGATTTGTTGGTACATACTACTAAAGGGTCTTAAAAGGATCCTGAAAAGAGGTGGTTTACATTTGAAACGCATATGCATAGATAGGGTCATAGGGGGTCAATCACAGCCCTGATGCCTTCGAAGTTTAAAGATATTTTTTAAGTTTGTATATAAAAGGCAGCCCAGAGCAAATTGGTTTCCCCGCAAGGCAATGGTCCAGGGAAGGGTCACAACACAAGAGTGTATAGTGGGAAAGCCTTCCCTCTTCATTTTGATAACAGGCCAATCCCAAATTCTCATATAGGTCAACACAGCAATATTGTAAAAGTTGCGCCAAGGCTCCCAATCTTTTTAAGTTTTATATAAGTAGAATTTATACTATTAAAGATGCATGAATGTATTGTTTTTTCAGTCCACTCAAAACACACACCCACATGTACAAGACTGAAAAAACACATCCAGTGCGGGAAAACATGGGATTGCACATGTGCGCTAGACTGATCCAAAGAGGCTGACCATTATCATTGATCCCAAAAAATAAACTACATATAAGATGTTGATAGTTGATACTGTATTAGATTTTGCATAAGTCAACTTAAATTGGTCATAATGTTTACCTCACACTTTTGTTGTCGTGCACTCCTTATTAAATTAGATGGTAAACATTTGATGTAAGTCATATTATTGTTATGATAAAGTTAAAAACTAAGTTGTGTGGTATCAATTCCAGTACTTTACTTTCCTCATCTTGTCTAACTCTAGTTTTCTCCATTTTGTGCTCATTAGTGTGTGTTAATGGGCAGGCTCAACAAGCTCAAGTGGTTCGTATTGAGATGATTGTTTGACAGTGAAAATTATACTTCGTAAATATATATATGGGAAACCCTGACGTACTGAGTTTGATATTTGCGGCTGGAGTTTGGGTGGCATCATATGCATTGGTTGCAGTATTTGGCATTTTTCAGATTTTCAATTGCCTCCGAACATGCATTCTCCGTTGACCAGAAACTTTGGGAGACTATTGCCCCATCTTTGTACTATAATTAAGTGATGATAATGATGATTGTGTATAGCTTCTGATGGTCCTATTTCAAATGGATTTTGCTGTCTGCTTTGGCAAAGCAAGTCATTATTTACTGATTCAGTCATTTGTATCCCACATTTTTGTCCTGCCCCAGACTACCACATCACCGCCAATTGAAGTCTGAAGACAATTCAGCGTGAAATCGGATGGTTGTGTGTGTTCAAGGCACAGGATAACATTGTTTTCAAAATGCCGAACACTGACTGTTACTATCAAGTTAGTCAGTCCTACATCTGGAAGTTGTGTTTACTCCTGCAAGCCAATTGGTTATTTTATTTGGTCTGAGTATCATATTATTGTTCGTGCCGGCAGCTGCTGATCTATATTTCGTGTTGATTTTAATGATATTCATCTTGTAATTGTGACTTGAAATTATTATGGCAATATAGTCCCATTATACTCTCATTGAGATATAAACCACTCGAATAAATTGTGATCCAGAGGGGCTGGTTCCAGTCTTGATCTGATCTCGAAGCGGCTGGTTCTGTATCCCCTACCCAAAGATCCGTGACTGGTTATGGGTCTGGTTCTGACCTGCCGCTCCAGCCCGCGGTTGTTCGTGATTTGTTATGTTCATTTAGCTAAAGTATTTATATATTATTACCTCCATTGATAACAATGTTAAGTTTTAGTCTCAAAAAAATATGGGGTAAATTAACATGCATTGATATATGACTTCAAAGTAAAAAAAAAAAAAAGATAAATTTGATCAATTTTCCACACATATTTTCCCTCCACTTCGCTCTCTTCCACTCATCCAATCCAAGACATATCATTTCATAAATCATATCCACTAGCTCTACTCTGCTTCTATTTGTGTCGTCATTCCATGCCTCTTCTCTCACCTTTCGATTTGTCTAATGCATGTATCATTCTGACTACATGTAGCAAAATCATCACAATTGAGGCTCTCGCATCTTATCTTCAATAGTTGTTACTCTTATGTTTTGCTTGATTGTCTCATTTTTTAAGTGGTTTTTAGTAGTGCCAACACAATTGTGCATCTCACCAATACTCACCTTTTAAATGTGATATTGTTTCACCGTTCAACACTCTATGTTAGGGGTGGATTCGGGCCGGGTCGGGGCCGGGTCGGGCCGCCGGTTCAAGAACAGTGGGCCCGGGACCGGCCCGAGGGTTGGAAGGGTCCGGTTCGGGCCGGGCCACCCGCCCGGGTCACGGGTCGGTCCGGTTCGGGCCGGGCCGGTTAATTTTTTTTTTATAATTTATATTTTATAGTTTATAGTTTTATACGAGTATTAAAAACAAACTTCAATTGCATTTATTTGAAATGAAATAGGAACTACATTTGAAAATTAAAACAAACTTTAAGAGAAACATTTTGAAAATTGTAATCAATCGGAACTTCCCGCACCTCCCGATCCTTTGGCTTTGTCACATGACTTCATATGCTTGATTGCCATCCCGAATCCGCCTGAAGCCCCCATGATACATTTTTTTTCGCACCATTTGCAAATTGCGTACCACATCCCGGTCTTTGGGTCCTTCTGCTTATCAAAATTATACCGTATAATGGCATTTTGATTTTCCATCTTAACTTCTTGGAGAAGAGAATTAGAGAGTAGATATATAATATATTGGAGAATAAGAGAATTAGAGAGTTGAGAGTTAAGAATAGGATTTAGGAAGAATTGGAGAAGAGATATGAAAAAATGTTTAAGATTAGGAGTATTTATAGGTTTTTTTACCCCCCACCCCCCCCCCCACCACCCAACCCCCCCCGGACCCCCCCCCCCCCCCCCCTTTACCCCACCCAACGGCTATATAGCCGTTTGGGTTGTCCCCAGCCCCAGCCCCACCCCCAATGGCTAGTAGGAGCCCAAACCAAAAACAAAAAAATTAAAATTGAACCGGACCCGGGCCGGGTCACAAAAATGCTGAACCGAGCCCGCCCCGCCCCTTCCCACCGGTTCGGGTCCATACCCGGTCCCGGACCGCCCGACCGGGCCGGTCCCGGACCGCCCGACCGGGCCGGTCCCGGGCCCGCACAGTGTCGGGCCGGGCCGGGTCATGGGCCGGGTCATGGGCCGGGCCGGGTCATGGGCCGGGTGGCCCGAACCGAATCCAACCCTACTCTATGTTGCTCGCCTAATTGATATTCCATCAATAAAACTTATCCTTCAGTCTAGTTGGCATACTCCAATCATATAGAAATCATGATGCATGTTTCCATTTATCCACCTTGTTTTGATTATATGAGAGACATCTCCATCTAGTTCATTGTCCTTCTAAATTATGGAGCTTGGATAACGGAAAGCATTGTTGACTAGTAGCTCATTATTGTCAAAGTTAATCTCATTATTACTATTGCTTATACCTCCACTAAATGTTAACTCCATATATTTAGTCTTGCTTCGATTTAGTCTGCAATTTTTTATCTCCGGAGTTTATCGTTATACTTCCAACTTCACTTTAACAACAGATCTTGTCTCATCAATCAACAGAATGTCATTGACAAAAATCGATGACGTTATGTCTACTGAATTGACTTCATAAGTTCATCCATGACATGCAAATAAGAAAGATCTAGAGTTGACCCTTGATGCACTCCATTAGTAGTAGAGAACGTTGCAATCCTTCCTATACTATTAAAGATTTAAGGACGCTTGTAGCACAATTTTCATCAATTCTCGAGAAACCCTATCATACGCTTTTTCTAATGCAATAAACACTAAATGTCAATCATTATTCGTATCTTTGTAGTTCTTCACATGTTGCTTAAGAAGGTGAATAGTCTCACTTGTTGAGCAACTAAGCATAAAACTAAATTGGTTCTCCGAAATCATCACACTTCTTCGGAGCCTTTGCTAAATCACTCGCTTACAAGGTTCATGATGTCATTCATAAGCTTAATATCTCGATAGTTGTC